GCCAAACGATAGGCGCCAATGAATATTGGAAGCCTTTATATATGCCGACAGGATTTACAGGAAATTACAGGACAGGACAGGACGGGACAGGAAAATATTTTGACATTTAGTACAGGATCGGGACGGGAATAGATATCTTCAGGACAGGACGGGAATGTGTTTTAGCTATCATTTGGAGCACTAATATACACTCATTATTGTTGTCCGAAAGTTATAGTAATAGTTGACGTAATTGTTGTACAGTTTGTGTTCACTGAATGTGTTTTTCACTGTTTTTGAGTGTTTTGTATGAATTGTATGTTTAGTTGAGTTCATGTGAACACAACTTATGGACTAATAATGCATTGAATGAAGTGTTGAATTGAAGGCAAACAACGATTGACTGATTGTGTGATCGTTTGGATCAGTTGTAGACAATGACAACGTCTTCGTGTGATTTCGAAGACATGTATCGCTATCTGGAAAGAGCGCAGAAACAGATGACTTGTACTCTGGATGTGAACTCAAACACCAATCCCTTCGACGGACCCAACAATTATCACACCATTAATGATCTCATAACTGATCTGCAGATGTATTGCGACACTCTTTGCCACCAATTGTCCCACGAATTGACACTCATGTCGACCAACCATCACAACCATCGCGAGCCACACGCGGACGACACGGAGTCCAGCAATGGATCCAATAGTGGACTCAATGGCAAGCCGTCCACCGAATCGATGACGGAATCCAAAAGTCAGTCGATGGCGAGCATCGGTTCCCAGTCTTCGCAGTCGCCGACACTTCACACCAATTGTGACACAATTGGCAGTACTTATGGTCACCACAAGACTTATGGCACTCATATGAACACCGGTTTACACATCAGTTATAACCGATTGTCTCAATACGAAAACAATGACGAATTGGAGACCGAATTAATGACTGCCCAACAGATCCATCAAATCGTATGATTACTTACATAATACTTATTAATACCTGTATTATTACCATATATTTCATATATTGGTATTAATTAATGCAAACCTAACCCAATGTCATGCTATCAGTGATCGCATCTTTCAATTGCTATTTAATTGTGATTTTATTTGGAAATACTTTTGAACCGAAAATAAGTTTTTAATTAAACATTTGTTAACAAAGAAAAACTTGTTTTCGTATTAAGTATTAAGTAATTTGTTTTCATATATTAGTCTATAATATAATATATGACTGTTTTTGACTTTAAAAGCATTTTGAAAGTTATGCCAAATTTTGAGAAGGCGTTCAAATTTGTAATTTATGATGAGTTCATATAATTGTTTGAAATATATTATGTAATTATATGTTATGCGAAATGCGGGGTTAGAAGAGTTGAGGCCTTCAGCCCTATTATACAGCATAAGCTGTGGTGAGGAGGGGTGGGAGGGCTGAGACATTAGTCCTCTTGAATCCGGATTGAAATGCCATGAAATCAATTGAAATGTATGATACAGTGGTATAAAATATGCATTTATATGAATAATACATAAACACTTTAGTTTCCACTGTTTTGTGGGTCGAAAGCAAATGCGAGTCAAATGAACTTATATTTAGTTCAATTATAACATTATATTAAACGAAAACTACTTTAATTCAAACCTTTTACTTAATAGTCAATTATTTTTAGATTCAATTGTTTATAGAAATTGTTATGAATTCAGGTCTTTGTGTCAAAATATGTTAATCTCTTTTTATATCAAACATTGAGTCCTTTTATTATTATTTTTGTGAACACTTTATACGAAAACATGTTTATTGCCTTTAAAATGCATTTTTATTTGTATTTTGCACTTAAAAACACATTAGAAATAGAATCCAATTATAAATATATTTTGGGTTTTTTCAGAATATAAACCGAGATATATATAAGTGAAGCAAAGGTGGAGTCATTTAAATGTATTTTCGTGTAATTACTTAAGTATTTTGACGAAAGCTATCATTAATTTGATTAACTTTTAAATATTTAAATTATTTACAAATTAAATACTTTTAACTTATTTACTCTAATATCGATATTAAGTGTCCTAAAAGTCAATATACAATATGATAGCAGAGATATTGCCATAAAATCAAGTGCTTATTATTATAAACTAATATATTTTCGAATTTTAATTATGTTTAGCATATATTTACTGAAACTATGAAATTATTTAAAATCCAAATTACAAAATATTTATTTATTATAAATAATCCTCGCATTAATTAATTTACCAGAATATATGATTGTATTTGATATTTAAAGCATAATATGTTTTATATTCTTAATTAGAAATAATTTTTTGAATACAATAGAGACAACAAATTGGTTTAAAGAACAACATTAATAATAATAATAATAGTAATAATAATAATAGCAACAGAAATAATGATAATTATAATAATAATAAAAATAAAAATGTAGACAACAATAATTGGGTCAATACATTATCGAAGGGTAGCCTTTTGGATGGGACGCCGACCCGGACTCCAATTTTTGGATGCGATTTGGATGAGTTGGAGCCGTCAAACTGTGGCTTTGCTTTACCGGCTTTTATTGAGAAATCGTTGCTTTTCTTATCGCGAAAAGGGATCGATTCTGTGGGCATTTTCCGCAAATCTGGTGTTAAGTCACGTATAATGTGTTTGAAAGAAGAAGCAGAGAAGGGAACTCATATTGACTTCTCTGATGTGTGTGTCTATGATATCGCAGATGTGACCAAATTATGGTTCAGAGAAATCACTGATCAAAACACCAAAAAACCAAAACAACTTTTAACGCAACAAATCATTAGTTGTTTCAAACAAAACAAAAAAGAGCTGACATTGTGTGCGATTCCTGACAACCAAAGAACTGTTTTGCAAATCATTCTCAGATTCCTATCACTTGTCGCGAGTCATTCCGACGCCAATCAAATGAATTGTCATAATTTGGCCATTTGTTGGACACCATCTCTATGTGAATGCGATGGCGATCAGCAACTCTTCGACGCCCAGAAGTGCCTCGAATTCTGTATCGATAATTGCGAAACACTTTTCATTATTTCAGTCAATTCCTACTCCCTTTCAATTACGGACACCAATTGTCCGCTTCCTCACAAACACGAGGCCACAGCTCTTGTCGACTGCGGACCCAATGATATACTCAATCGTGTGCTTTACGAGAGGTTAATAGCGTATGAATTGAATTGCATTTATTAAAAATGTTAATCCCTTATATTGTTTGTAAAGGCATTTAATTGATCCGACAATCGTTGAGTGGAGTGTTGGGGAAGAGATGTCCCCCAATAGTGATACGTTTATTATGAGACTACAGTCCAGTTCTTTCCTTCCCATCAAAACCGTTGTAATGGAGAGGAAGTGGAGAATCAATAGCCTTAACAACATTGAAGTGATTGAAAACGGCTTCTTATATGAGTCGCGTTGGTCTCTGAGTGCAGAGGAAGGACGCACTCGAGTCGCTCATATGATTTCACTCGATCTCAGGTCTTAACAATTGCTTAATTTTTTTATTTATTTACTATTAATAGGGATGAGACAAATACAAAGTATTAGTCCCATATATTCTACGCAATGCTTGAGACTATGACATAATGCTAAACCAATTTTTAATGTGTTAAATACCAATCTATGCGCCTATTTTTTGAACAATTCTAAGAACTTCCTATATGTAATTTTAATAATATGACATTTATTTGTTTTATTTTATGCTATTTAATATATAATTCCCAGTTTGATTGTCATTAAGTCCATATAATTTGAATGCAAAGCGTGTAAAATATCAAACAATTAGAAATACTGTATTCTTAGATTTGTTTAATCTAAGATAAATATATAAATACTGATAAAATTGAAATTGATAATAATTGTTAACAAAGTTTAATATAAAGTCAAATATGCCAATATTTACATTACTCTATATGAATAATACATAGAATAATACAAATGTATTATAATGTACATTTCATGTATATAATCCATCCTTATTTATTTGACAGACTTTGCTTATTGTTTTGTAAAAATTATTATTAAACTTAATATTAATGATAAAAAGATGTATTCGAGAATATATTAGACTCTAATTAGAGAATCATCTTATGGTTGGAGTGAATACAATGCAAACATTGTTGAGATGACCGTATGTTATGAATAGAGTGACAGTTATATGAATACAAACTTGCATTCATTCTATATTAACCATAAAACATATAACTGTATTAAGTATTAGGACATGGTATTAATGTCAACAATTGAAGTGCTCTTTAATTTGGGAATCACTTTATTGTGACATTAAATTTAGAGATTCGCAAGAATTAAAACATTGCATGCATTGAACACAAGTGTTGTCTAGAATTGATTAGTTGTACACTATTTGACATATATTTGATTGAATTAACGTTTAAATTGAATTTGCATTTAAAACAGAGGCCATTCGTATGAGTGGTATAACTCGACATTCCCTGCGATACATAACAATCAATTGAATCGTTTGTCGGAGTCATTCCTCGTCACAGCCAACACATCCAGAATATCCCATATTTGACACCGTTTTTGATGAAAGCCTTGAATTATTGCAATAATTATATATTTTTGAAAGGAATTAATCGAATGATTGTATGTTTGAACACAAAACAGTTAACATGTACTGTATATTGAGATACTAAACAAAATCATGGTTTTTATTAACACTCGTTCTCAATATTTTTTACTGAAATATTTTTCAAATAATTGAATATTTATTTATTTTTATCAAAATCCGTTTATTCGTTGTCCTCTAATCAAATGTTAATAAGTATTATATATTTGACTTCAAATTATGTTAATATAAAGTCCTTGAGTTTATAGTCATTTTTATTACATTTTAAAAATGATATTTTTTAAATTGTATAATATATTTACATTACAATCAATTATCTAATAATCCAATTAACGCAATATTTAATAAATTCTTTATAACTTAGATAAAAACTAAGTATATGTATATTTAATTGGACTATAAATTGATTTGAAATGATATCAAAACAAAATGTAAAACAAAAAATGTATAAATTCTACTCAAAACACCAATTTTTGCGATTCTGCGAGAAAACGGACCCCAATTTCAACACATAATAAGCAGTATATTTAGTACTCTATTATAAGAATATTAAATTCACATTAAAATCAACAAATTTTGTTTACATTTCATGCATTGAAAAATCAAAATATATCAAACTGTTTGCGATTTACTAAAAAAAATCTGTTAATTGTTTTTAATTATAGATAAAAAGATGGAATAATTTTAGTGTAAAAACAGTTTATATTATAATGTTATTAATGAATTTAATTGCAATGAGAGAAACGGGTTGTATATTATGGTATTTTTATACTAAAATCTATATTTTTATTAATTCATACCATTTATATATTTAAATTTATTTTCTATTTTATAAGGATTTACAAAATATTGATAAAAACATTAATATTTATTACCAAAAACTGATATCATCTCTATATTCCATATATTGCTATTGATGTTAACATTTAAAAATAACTTATTATTTATTAAAATATATTCTGTTTCCAATCAATTTGACGAATAAACTTATTTCGCACTCAAATCCTGTTATGTTATGTTATGTTAAGTTTCATTTCAAACATTACTTTTTATACACTGTTTTTCTACACAAATCTTTTACATTGCTTTTTATAGTTGTTTCGATGCCTTACTATAAATATCTGTTTCCAAACTCAACCATAAAAGCGTATTTTAGATGCAATTGAGAGCACATTTGAATACATACACCGATAAAAGTATTGTATTTACGGTAAGTTAAGCAAAGGTTTTATTAGTTTTAAAATAAATTTCGATTCATTTGTTTTTTCTGTGAACTTATAATAATTTTATTCAATACATGTGTTGGAAATGTTTTTAATGACAATAAATCATTAATCAATAAATGCTTTTAAATTCTATATTAAATATAAACTTACATTTAATGCAATAATAATATAATGTAATTTGTATTTAGTATTGTATATCAATATAATTTAATTTATAAACGAATTACCAATTCTTTACATTCACTCCAAAATTGTTTAATCAAATAAACACTAAAATTCCACTAATTATATGAATAAATGTGTTTTTGTTTAAATAATTAATCCTTTTTTGGTTTACAATTAATACAAAAGAACTTTTCGACGGAAGCGATTTGATCGGGATCTTCGATTCCTATACACAACTGATGATACCATCCCTCGCACTCGCCCTCACAGTACACCCAATTCACTTCAGCCACTGCACAGCCAATCAATGAAAACAATACACACATTAGTTTCACTGACAATCAAACACTTGTCACTTACCGTTGGGTTTGAGACACTTGTCTTTCATCGAACAGAGTTCGTCGGTGTCATCGGATTTACCCTTTTTGCCGTTTCTCCTCATTTTGCCCCCATTTTTAGCCACTTTTTCCTTTGGGATCAATTGTTTCTTCTTTTTGTTTTGTGTCTCCAAATCGTTTGAATCGGAAATAGACTTTCGTTTATTAGTCTCAAAATCTTGGTCTTCGGTGTTGTTATTCCTCAAAACAATTCTATGATTGGGTCTAAAATATAAATACATTAATAATTTGTTACCAATTAATAGAGATAACAATCACTGACTGAGATAACTGCCAAACGAGCCAAAGATGAGAAGTCTCTTCCAGACTAACTTCGAGACAATTGCCTTCAAATAGCAATTCTGACAACAGTTCCAGAGATTGTGGACTCAATTCAATGAGAGGTTGAGTTGTCGTCTCTACTAAATTAAAAGTTAATATAAGTATTAATAACTGTTATCTCAATAAGAGATGAATGCCTTACCCCTCAAAATGAGTGGTGATTTGCGTTTGTGTTTCATCGGTGAGAGTTCTGGAGATGCCATCGACTCGTTTGAAGCCGCGTTGGAAGCGGTCGGAGAATGCATTTCCGATGAGTGACTAATGATTGGTTGAGATCTTTGTAACTGAAGTAATGCCTGAGCGGTGGCCTCTTCGGCCGCCAACTCCTCTCTCTTTTGTGTTGTTTGTGACAAATCAAGCGTTGAATCGGTTTGCAATTTGAGGGCACGATTGTAAGCATTGTCTAAATCTGGATGCGATTGAATGGCTTCGCGAACTCTGTTCTGCCAATTGATGGCGCGTTCGGCCAAACACTGGAGAAGTTCGCCGTCCAGTAGTCTTACCGGCAGTTTCTGTAGTGAACACAATAGCGTCAAAATAATTTCCACTTTAGGTCGTCGTCCGCGCGAACATAAATCGCATATAAAGTTCTGAAACAATAGATAATAACAATTATATTATTGTTGTAAATATAGTTCACAACTAATCAAACATACGTTCATTTGTTGCTGCGGTTGCGGCCAATCGTTGGCCAATGTTTGACTCATTTGTTGTTTTTTCCTCATATAAACGGATTGCGTGTTTTGAATGCATGTGTTGTGAAACCAATCGTAACACAACTGACATTCAATCATCCAATCGTTCTCCTCTTTACCACAAATGCAGAATTTAAACGATGGTTTGGTCTCCTCTTGAGGCTCTTCTTGTGCGGCATCTGAAGTGTCTGTCACTAAATCGGATGCCTTTTCTTCCAAATAGAGTCTTTTGGCTGAGTTTCGTTTGCGAAGGACTCGCAAGTGATTGAGTTCTTGTTCTTCGAACAGCTTATAGAGCGCTACGATATGTGTTCGCGAATACTCTCCGTTCAGTTGGGTTTCGAAAATACTTTTGGATGAAGTCTTGGCATTTGATGCGCTATTCTTACGCTCTTTGGGCTGTGTTTGAGATGACATCCGCTTTAAGTAATGATATAATGTTCGCGAAGAGAATGTGCTGTCAGACGACTGACCCATTGAAGTGATTCTGGGACTTAATATTTGAATGATTGTATATAAGGGACTCTTCTTAGTGAACGTTCGGTTCAAGCGTTCCCTCCAATTACGAGCCGAATTGATAGTTGAGTTTAGATTTGATAAATGTGTTAATTGACAGTCAATAGTATTGGCCGACACAACCAACTCCTCAACCGCTTCAATCATCGGCGCCTCTCCTGAGTTGGCATTACTTAATGAGACCTTTAAGGCATGCTTTTGACTATCGTTACCAAAAATGCCATTCACTTTACTTATCCAATTGCGAGCCTTTCCTATACTCTCTCGGATTTTGTCAATTTGTGGCGAAAGATTCAGTCGTCTAAGACTTGAATTGCTTTCCGTTTCATTGATAAGCGATTCCAAAAATTCAAGCGTAGGTTTGCTTCCATTGTTATCGGCTTCAGATTTGTCTTCATTTTTAATAATATAACAATTATTCGCTCTTTCGATCCATTTATTAGATTCGTCGACCATTTGCTGCAATTCATTAAGTTTTGAGTTTATATTTTCTGTATTTACCGCTAATTTCATCCCATTTTCAATCAGTGTTTTAATGTTTGTTATATCAAATCTCTTTTGGTTCTCAGGTTTCACGTCCTCAATGAGGATGTGATCGCATTCTTCTAACCAACGAATCTCTTCGAGTTTGTGTCGAAAGGACTCGAGTTGTGTTCCAAAGTCGACAACAACTATCGCCTGAGCGTCGAAAAGAACTGCCTCTAAATCCGATGATTTGAGGGCTTCGTTGGTCTCTTTAGTGTTGTTGGCGTCCAAAACACTCATAATAGACGAAGCGATTGAATTGCATCTATCGATCAGTTGCTTCAGCGCATACTTCTCGGGTATTTCGCACTGAAGGTCTGCAATCTCTTCGTAAAACAAACTGATCTCTTCTAACGTCAACTTAACGTTAACGCTATCGGATAGCCGGTTAGCGTTACGCCCAGCGGTTGACCGTAGGGTACGTTTCACGGGTGACGGCAATTGTTGCGGTCCAGCAGTCAGTTGTTGTTTGCGGAGCATCTCTTGCTGTCGGATCAGATCCTTCGCCGCACGCGAACACTTTGACGCTTCGGTTACTATTGTATTCAAATTTTCATATATTTCCGAATTTGTCGGGTATTTGTTAACCACCGCGTCGTTCAACAGTGTCTTTAGCTCTTTAAGAGTCGGAGTTTTCGTCTCTTCTTCTGATTCTAATTAACAAAAATAAGTGTAAATATGCGATAAAACATTCAAACAATCAAACCATTATTATTAGAGTTGGTCTCCATTTTCTTAAGGAGAGTCTGCACTTTAGAGGCCCAGTCATCAAACTTTTCGGCCCTTTTCCTCAAATGGTGTAACATTATGGGCAACTCATCCAATGTATATCTGTAGCGGAGTGTGTGCTGTGGAGGCAAACATGTTGTGCACAGATTGTCCTTATGGCTCAAACAAACCAATTTTGCTAACAATCAAACAACACATACAATTAATTCAAGATTCAAACAAATAGGATATGTGATAGATATGATTGACATACTTTGATCACAAGCACAGGTGAGAGCCGACAAAAAGCAAGTGGTTTTACAGTAATCGCATTGTCGTTCGTCGTCCTGAAGTAATTCAAACGCTTCCCGTTCCGCTTGAGTGACGCCCCACTCGAGTAGTGCTAAACGCGACGACTTCTCGCTCTCAACCATACGAAGCATATCCTTATAGGTCTCGACGGCGAGAGTGATTTCCAGATGGTTGGGATCGTTAGCCATCTTACAGATCAACTCGTCGTGACTGAACACAGGAAACCGATGAAGCATTGCGTAGTGAGTGATACAAACGCGTCCGATTGGCAGCCAATCTGATGGCGCAAAGTTGACCGCTTCGGCAAAGTTGAGGCCCTGATTGAATCCCGTGTGATATGAACGCGGAAATGTCACCACAAACTCACCCGCTTTTTGGTTACATCGATACACCTGTCCGTCAATATATGGTGTCATTTATGGATTACATTACAAAGTAAACACAAAAGACTGACCGGCACTCCGTCTTGCATTAGAATATTAGGATTACAAATAGTGACCAATTGGTGGAGTAAATCGGGCTGCGATTTGAAGAGTTCGGGCGCCGCTCTCTTCATAGCCCTCTCGAATGTCTCGGCGTGTTCTCCGGGAACGCCATACCATGTCTTGGGTTCTCCCCAATGGAGGTAATTGATAGAATAGGTCCAGTGGTCCTCATTATGCCAGCAGAATGTGGCGAAACACATGCCCACATACATCCAGGGCACTATCATTCCGCTTATGTTAGCGTTTATGTGTCGAAATACACTGCCCTCAAGGATTGGGATGTTATTTAGATTCCATAAATGATTTACATATTCCTATCGAGTATTGAATCAATTAATAATTTGATAAAAACTACAGACAATGATTCGTACCATATCTGAAGGCAATAAATTTTTGGACAATTTAGTGGGAAAACCACTTCCGTAATCATTTGTGTGCAAATCCGCTCCGTATTCAACGGTAACCGACTCTTCAATGGCTGACACTAAACGCCAGAACTCTTTCTCCGCCAGAGAATGGGTGACAGACTTGAGGAACAAAATACATGTCAATTAAAAAAATAACATATAAAATATTTAAATCAAATTACATGTGGGGGACAATTAAAGTAGTCGGCTTTGAACTGATCGGCCATTTCTCCGAATTCACTCAAAGTATAGCTCTTCTGCGACTGAACGAAACCAAACTCTTGAGTGTAGGGCTGAGGGTATGATTGGACTAATAGTGCCAGACATCGATGACAGTGCCAAACACCTGATGCACACAAACCAATTCATAATATCGTATAAATATGTCAACTAAAGTGACTAACCTTTGGGCCAATCATTGAGTGGAGGAATAAGACAATGTGTGTGATAAGTGTTTGTACAGTTGTCACACGTCAACAGCATTGGCGTCGGATTGGTTTCTCCGCAATGCAGACACACCTAAAAGTATAGCACAGAACAGATTTTTTAGATCGCTTTTCTATTATCGTTACCACAATTGAAACAAACTTTAATCGAATGCTCTTTTTCTGTGTGTTCGGACACATATCCGGGCATTTTAGGTCCGGCGCCGTATACCTGAAGTTTCTTCAGTTCTTTATTGTTAGAGTTGGGAGAAGTTAGTAATGAATTCTGGTTTTGAGGCGAAATCGATTGTCTTCTTAAGACACGCTTCTCAGGAGTCGTGTCCTTATTATCATTGCATGACTTTAAGAGTTTCTTGTCTTCATTGTCATCATCTGATGAAAAAGACACAGATTTCTCGTCCTATCGTTCAAATAAATACAAAGTTAAAAGAATGCAATTAAAAATATACCATATGTTAACTCACGCTATCAATGGGTCCAATAGTGGCACCGCTTTGAAACACATCGTATGGGAAGAGTATTCGCTCGTAATGTTGTCGTAGTAGTGATGCTATTGTTCCTCTGTTTGAGGCGTTATCTGATTGCAAAATATAAGACAATTTGTTACAATTGAAGTCCACTTTACATCAATCAATGTCATACTTCCGTAGCCCATACGTGCGGCCACACGCGACCACTTCCTATCTCGGGTGCAAATCTCAAAGCCTCCCTCTTCTCCGACAATTCTGTGTAAGTTATATAAGTCTAGAGAACGTCTCTCGATGTTTGGTATCTTAAAGGAGGCGCCCTTTCAATCAAAAACAACAATTTATTAATACATTTCAATCGACTTCTAAATAATAATCTTTTTAAATAATTAATATTTAGTAAATTCTTTATATTGTGTTTAATATGCATTAATTAAGGCATACATCAGATAAACATATAATTTATGCATTCAATTGACAGAAATAGTACTCTATATCTTTCAATTGCGAGATAAAGCAGTAAATTGAGTGAAAGCAACGATAAGTATGTAATCTAATGGTTTACCTGTAAATCCCAGAACTTGACGATCTGTTCAATGAAATTGAGTTTAATTCTTGTCGTCGCTTCCAATTCATTGAGTCTTTGAATGCGAGGCGTAAACCGGAACTCTTCGACGGCCACTGCAAATGGCGGCTGAAATGACTGTAAAACATATGTCTCTTTAAAATCAATTACAAGACCCCTATTTCACTCATGCATTGCATTTAAGCGGTTGTAAACCATCGCTAATCCTATCATATCTATTAGAAACTAATTATAAATCAATTCATCAAACAATAGATGCGTTTAAACAATGGCTGAGCCATAGGTTAGGGTGCGGTCTATACTCGTGTCGCACAAAACTAGTTCTCATTATATGTTAACTAAATTTAATTAAATTTAATTCCTATAAAAATATCTCTCAATTGCAATACTATTACAAGACTTGCAATCAATTTAATTGTTTTACAATTAAATGATTGAATGAAAGACACAGACATAGATCTAAGTAAAGTGATGGTTAGTGCATTCACTGTGACATCAATTCATGTCAAAGACAATGGATGTGACAAAACAAGTGTCCATACGTTTGGCGGAACGATTTTGCAGATGCCGTGCGGTTCGGCTTCGGGTCTGATCTTCGAGATGTACTCCAGAGGTCCCGAAGCGAACTCCTCTTCTGTCGGGTAAAAGACGGGACAATCGGGAGGAGAGATGAAGTCGAAGTCGTTGCTGGTGTTGGATGTGTTAGAAGTGTTGTTTGAAGTGGTGTTGGATTTGTTGTGGTGTTGAGGGATAGCGGAGGTCGTGGTCGCGGATCCATTGGTCACGCCATCCATGTCTGCCGTTATCTTACAACTGGTCGGAGCCGAAGAATTGGTGCTCATTGTAGTGCTTATGACATGAGCGATCACTTTATCGTTAAATCCAGTGATAGTGTGTTAAGTGAAGAGTGGATCAAATCATGTGATAAGTGGTAAAAGTGGCCAAAAATGGCGTTTTTTAGTCAATAAAACAAAACAAAAACACTTTTCAAAGCCTTTTAAACACTGCTTTGGAAACACTGTTTCAACACTACTCTCACTTCACAAACACTACTCAATACGTGAGACAAACCCCGTATTAAATCCAAACGATGTCTCCATTGGTTACAAAAGTTTGAAAACTTTTTTGTTCTCAATTGATGTGCAGTTATATTCACTTTCATTACTCCCGCTATTAAATGTATTATTATTATTATTTAAACACTTTTAACAATATATCCTATAATTAAACAATTGTAGTGAAAAATTACACTCATAATTGTGATATTGAATAACCATGGTCTTTTTTATCAAAACACGTACACAGTGTAAGAGTATTAAAATTGCAAATAACTTATACAATGTTATGTAACAGTAATATTCTTATATTATTGCATGTTATTGTAATTTACATTTTTTAATGCGTTAAATATAATTGTGTGAAATATTTGGAAATTAATTATAATTAAAATTACTTAAAAATAAAATAATATTTTAAAAGAAGAGTTTAAATTTCATAATAATTATTATTAATGAAAATCATTAGGAATTTACAAAATTCTTGACTATTAAGAGAAACAATACAGTAATGCATTACTAATGCCCGTATATTTGACTATTTTGAATAAGAAATCTGCATTGAAAATAATAATGAGAATAACAATATGTCTAAATTTAAGTCATTATTACAATACTGAAAACATTACATAATATTACTGTTAGGATTAAATTAATTTTTCTATGTTTTTAATTGAATAATTTAATGACAATTTCTAAAATATGATTGAATTGTATGAATAAAGGCGGCGACTGTTGTCTGCAAGTGTTGGCCGAAAAATATTGATTGCATTGAAGCGCTCATTGGCTGAAAATGAGATAAAATTGATTTTTATATCCGATTCGACTTTACTTTTATATATGATATGATATATAATATATAATATAAAATGGAAAACAACTCAATCGACATGTTTTAGTCGGGGATGACATTAATGTTGATATAAATTCAATCATTGATTTAATTTTGATATTACACTACAATTCTGTACAATAGTTTGTGAAAGCAATAAATATTTTTCATTATAAAAGTTATGGACAATAGAATAGTGAAGACCAGAGAGTGAGGGATAGGAAGGGATGTGGGAATTGCGGTGGGAATAGTGGAGTGCAGACAATGCCTGTGTTGTGCGATATTGTACTGGTTTTACCATATCTTCAATACGGCAATAGTCTGACGGAAATTGAATGAATTGAGTGAATGTCAACACAACTGTATGTTTGTGTTGGTTATGAAAGTCATGCCCTCATGTCTGGAGGGCATCGAAGACATGCAAAAGAGAGCGCCGATGAAAGTTGTGCTCAATTTATTGGTTCATAATTTGTTATTTTGTGCTTTCAATTAACATTTAATTGATTTCTTGAGTACAGCTGTTGTTCTCAACTCTTCTCCTCTTTTTTTGTCCATCAATTTTATGAACCGAAGAGAAGGTATGACTCTTCGCAACACTTTAGAAACGGCACTCTTATATGTGTTTAGCACTCAATAAATTAATTTATTGCACAAAAGGCAATACAGAGACAGAGAAATTGAATGAACAGCAAAGCAAATACATAGATCACAAGTAGTCAACCAATTGAATAGACAATAAAAATGTCCAATTGTTGAACAAAACAGTTGTGACCAGCGGTTAATGCTTATGAGTTTTGGGCCCAAAAACCTACGCATCGATAAACTTCTTTTGCCATCTCTTTCTTCATTGCCTTAAAGGGATCATTGAGTGAAGAAATGCTATTACTGTGTCTCCGATCCACTCGACGACTACTACTGAACAACATTGTTGTTAGTGTTAGGATACCAGTGCTATCACACCATTTCTATCATACCATAGACTCCTATTCGGCAACATTTCATAAGTCGATACACTTTCCCCTCTCCTATAGTGTAGTGTAACACGAATTACATCTATTCAATTGTATTTCGTTATATCAAATGAATACACATAACATTGTTTGGTATTCTTGTCAAGAATAGTATGGCTCTAAAGTACAGTTCATTTCAGTGCCAACCCATAGAGCTTTGAAAATAGTTTATAAGAACTAATTGTGTCCAAAAATATCTTCAATTTATTTTTCGTTTTTGTCTTTAGTCATCATTTATTGCTATTATTAGGCGTCACTCCTAATTACCAGTGTCTCCAAGAGATGTCTGAGAGACAAATCCTCTAAACGCCAACTAAAACAATACAAAACAAGCAAATGATGCAAAGCTCCGAGCTTTTGGTTACAAAAATCCAGTAATCTGTCAATAACTTAGTTTCGCATCTCTCTCTCTCTCTCTCTCTCTCTCTCGCTCACTCACTCACACTAACTAAAAATATTTCATAAGCTGTACTAATATTTGTAGCGATTCTACAGTTATGTCAGCTTTGATAAGATATGAAAAACTTGGACTGAATAATGCATTTAGAGTTATATCGATAGAACTTTGTTAGAAGTTTGACCACAGAATAGGCAAAAAGTGTAAGTTATATACAGGAATTGTTGGCAATAGTGTTGCGTTATAGCGGGTATACAATAGTGTATTGAGCGGTAGGTTTGAAGCAAATATCAGAAACAATGGGAATCTCGTCACGTAAATGGGGTAACCATACGAACCATACAAAGAGTGTATCATTTCTACTCTCTATTACTATATTAAGCGAATCTTTTATATTCCCTGAAACTTTTCTTTTACTTATTTGTGATAACAGTAACTAATATTACAGCAAATGATATATTGAAATACAAATAAATTCAATCGACAAATAATGTAGTGTTCAGTAGTTTACGTGCAATAAAAATAAAATTTTCTATACATTACATTTAAAATATGCTTTCGTTTGTCAAATTCAATGCACAAATAAATGTACTGTATTTATAAAAGACGACATAAGAAGGACCAAATTTGTGACATTTTTGCAAATTTTTAAGATATCTTATAAAATGCATTTACATTAATATAATATCTTACGTACAGAATCTTATATTGCATTATAATGTAATGCTTTGGGCAACTCTTCACTTGAATTCTCAACATTCTCTACTTTGTATTTATTTTTATCCAAACATTCAAATGTAAAACAAAAATTCAATGCTATTGAATAAAAATCTCAGCAGTATTTGTTAAAAGTAGTGAAATAATATGTAGTATATTAAAATCAAGTATGAGATAGATATGTCCCATAACTATATAACTGTTATAATATTATTATTATAATTCTGAGACCAAGATGAAGAGATGCCCAAAGCATTACATTATAATGCAATATAAGATTCTGTACGTAAGATATTATATTAATGTAAATGCATTTTATAAGATATCTTAAAAATNAGAGAGAGAGAGAGCATTTAAATAGTGAATATTTGGTATATCTATAGTTGATTGTTAGGAATCAATTGATTGATGTTAGACTTTATTGAATTTAATGCATGAATAGAGTGTAATAAAAATGACGATAATATTGATTGTTATAACTTATAAGAAGTGATTTGAATAATATTTTTATCGATAATACAATCTTTAAGAGTAATCATAGCGTAGCAAATGGTGTAAAATGATAATAATGTTTCTTTGCTAATAATGTGCTATTAAATTGGTTCTGCATCTCATTATAATAGATAGTTTTGGTGTTTAGCACTTAAGCTCACTTTGATCCCAACATTATCATCACAATCATCACCATTGGTCTGTTCTGACATCATTAGCCACAGTTTGATGCCTTCACAACACGTCACTTATTATGATTGCATATTATGTCGTATATTGTCGTTCAGCCAAAGGTTAGTTAATATAATAAGTTTCATCATATAAGTCATCATTTAGTTATGAAACACAAGTATTTAATGTACAACTCATTAAAGTTATTTTATCACTAAAACAATTCACTTTCACTAAATTTAATAATTATTTAATTTTACACAAATAATATTATTTCCTGATTCATACGTTTTGATCCTAATCCTATTGATCACATCATACAGTATATCATCCATTTTATCAACTATAATATTGGTTTGCATATTTAGCACCACAATATAATATACAGCACTAATTTCAACATTAAACATTTCAACATAAGATGCTAATTATACGATGTGAATTTGTCATTATATCCTAAACAAGTTGTAAATATGAAACAATTTTAAATTTTAATAATATTTCATTACTTTTGTTTAAATCACGTGCAATTAACAGCATAATCACTGCAATAACATCTTAAACTTTCACTAATGATTTCTGATATACAACATAATATAGTTTTGTAAAATATTATAAAAACCCATAGAATGTTAGCATTTTTGGCAATACTGTACTCGTATGACAATAGCCCATAGCTTATAAACAGTAAAAAAAACTGTCTATTATGTGATACTAGATTTTTTTTATTTGATAAAAACAAATGATTTACAATAAGAGCAAAAAACAAAAATACTTTTATTTTAAACCAAAGTTATTTTAAAATAACTTAATATTTAGTAAAATTCGGATAAGAAAGTGCATTTTATGCCATTTGGAAAGTTTTTATGCAAATTATAGTTTGTATGTAATGTATAATACAATTGAATTATAATGCAGTATATAAACTATACTATTGAGTAATAAATCATTTTTCTTTTTGTTCATTTTGTTCAGAATTCATCTTTTATAAGATATCATATAAAGTATTAATATTTGTTTTAAGCAAATCATAATTATACTATTCTTTACTTTCCATTGACATGTTATATGCAGAGAGAGAGAGAGAAAGAGAGAGAGAGAGAGAGAGAGAAAGAGAGAGAGAGAGCATTTAAATAGTGAATATTTGGTATATCTATAGTTGATTGTTAGGAATCAATTGATTGATGTTAGACTTTATTGAATTTAATGCATGAATAGAGTGTAATAAAAATGACGATAAAGAGAGAGAGAGAGAGAGAGAGAGAGAGAGAGAGAGAGATTTACGCCAAGTTTTTTGTTTTGTAAGTATTTGTAGATTTATCTCAAGTTATTACAGACTTATTACATGAAAGTCTTGTTCTGTGTTTGCAATCATAGGAGTGATAAAGG